AATTGGGTGTACTGAACCATTTATTGTTCGATTACTTAAAATTCGCCCTACAAACGTCGTAATAGCTCATTTGTTGTCTTAATTAGGTCTCACAACCAAAAATAAACTTCTGGACTTTCGGGTAATTTTTCGAGTTTTCAAGCGGTAAATAGTGGTTGTGCATGCAGTTTTTTCCAGAAAGAAAAGAATTTTTAGCAAATAAAGCAGATTAGAAACTAGCGTTTTGAAGCGCATTTAGTGATATGCCTCCTTTTTTAACGGTAAATGTTACTGAATATCCCTCTCAGAACTGCTGTAAAACAAAAATATTTCTGACACCTAGGGCTTTTATTTTATTGTTGTCTTCGGTGTAAAACAGCCATATTCACTTCATGCCATTCGAAGCAGAAATTGCTGGAGCGCAACATGAAACACTCCACAGACGGTTTCACTTCATACATAAAATGGAAGTGGAGTGATAGTACATATGTAATTAAACAAATTCACGCAACCATTCTTCCAATAAAAAAAATTGAACGCTTCTCACCGTCGACAATAAAGGGCTCCTCATCGTCACGTGGACTAGCCTCTTTACTAAGATCAGTTTTACGCCGATTTTTGCGAGGTAATTTTGCCTAAATGAGTACGATGAATTTCAAAAAAATTCCACATGAACATTTTGACCTTTTTAAGAGAAATAATGAACAGCCATTATATATAATTATAACATATAAGCACATCTTTCCTAAGTGAGTCCTTCTATGCTTTTGATTTCGAATCAAAAGCAATAAAAATAGTTGCGAGAACTAAAGGTGCATGAAAAAAAACAAGCCAAACCAGTTCACAGAAAAAATCAAAAAATATGAGTGCGTATATATACGAATAAAGATGATGAAGAATTGACAACAGTAAAAAACTACAGAACTACCCACTTTTTGTTCAGCAGCTGCTGCTTTCTGACTCTCACCCTGTGCCACGACCTAAATTTTGATTCTCACATGAATAGCACAGCTTCGGTTAGGATTAAAAAACAAGAAAAGTCAGAAAAAATTACAAATCGAGGCGATCTTGCCTTTTTGACAAGCTCTGCTATCCGTTCCTCTTCCGCAGCATCACTCTGTTGTTGAGATTGCGAGCGTCGTGCACCGTTAGGAACTCCAGCCTATAAAATGGTTTCGGTTGAAAAAAAAGACATCTTGTATCAGAAAGCCTTGAAGTTTAATTGATTCATTGTCAATGAACGACCCCAACAACAAAAAAATATATCAGCTTGATCCCAGGCGGCAAAGACTGAAGTACGGCACATTACCTGATCGTGACCATTCACCAGCCTTCCGGGACCATTTTCGCCGGTTTTGTTCATCCCTGCACGGCCATGGAACAACTGCGCCCGAGCATTGTGTTCTAACGACAAATTGCCTGGATTGCAAAGGAAATCATACCAAATCAGAAAAGCACAACACCTGTTTATACCTGCAGATGGAGAGCTCGCAATTGGTTGCACCATTTGCATTTGCATGGGCATTTGACCAGGGTTTATTATGTGATGAGGTGCCATCGCATAACGCTGATCTATAGTGTAAATCTCGATAAAAACGCAAAAGAACTTTTATTGGAAGACCAATGCCGGTCAAGAAAATTACTTCATTAGCCGTTGCCGAAAACACGACTACAGATAGGCCTCTCAAAAAGTATGGAATATGCATAGATGATATGCTGCTTGGACCACGATTTTAATACATACTTGCGATAGTGCGCTGCATGCGTGTGGCAGCCCAAAAACGCAATGTGAGCTTCCTTTTTTTGTGTAAGTAAATACATATCTTCATATAATTGCACGTACTTACTTTCGGTATACACATGTCATACCGTTTACACATTATGGCGTTGCGGCATAAAAAACTATACACCTCCGAATGCCCCCGAATTTGTCCTTCAGTTTCAAAGACTGTTTATTATTTTTATTATGAAAGCATCTACATCCATCTAATTATATACTTATGGGGTATGCCGCGATCGACCATCCAAATAGCTAATGCAAGTAGGTTACGTTATGAAATGAGCATGTTTAAAATGAGCTCGTCAGAGTAGCAGACAATGTATGCCTTTTCAAAGGGGTTTATAGCAAATATTTCCTTAAAGATTACGAAAGCAAAATTTGAGTCCACCTTTTTCCGCCGTGCTGCAAGATAACCCGAATAACCACAGTTAAGATTCGTAAAAAAATTATGAGCTTAACCTCGTTAGCCATTTCGAGTTTCAGATCCAAGAAATTTCCAATCACTACTTGTTTATTTCATACACTCAAGCTGTACCAAAAAATATGAAAGAAGGTTATAAAAGAGCTTGTCAACTGAAAGTTTGATTGATATGCAAGCAAAAATAGCATGTCCGCACTCACTAAGCCTGCTCTCAGAATAGTTTGGTGGTGAAGCTGCAAGCAATTCTGCCTGTTTACCAAAGAACCAGTACAAGGCACTGGGGGATGCCACCACACATTTGTTTAAATTAAGAGCGGTCCAAGGCTGCACGGCACACCTTAATTGTCCACCAACCTAACTATAACCCTGCATGATGTAGATATTAGCAGGAGCCCCAAAAGTCACTCAATGGCATGTTCGATGCGAGACCACGTTTTTTTGACTGACTGATGACGGTCCCACACAAATGTGCCCATTATTTGGTCTTTATCAACTCTTTAGTTGCGGATTTTTATAGAAGTTGGTGATATTTACGGACTAGCTTGAACTTAGACTTACAAGCAAGAATGATTCTTGTAGTGGAAGTACGCTTTGAAAAGTTGCCGGCTGGTTGCTTTAGTCGCAAAGAACTATATAAACTGGCTTAATCTTAAAAATGCTGAAATTGTCTTTTAGGACTACTTGATATGTTGAGTTTAAATATATTCATTTGGTACAGTAAGTTCGTGAAACAGTTACTGTAGCGCTGGACGGCAGGCTAATCACATGCAACTTCACCACGTTTTCCTATCGTGATAACGAAAAGGATGACATACGCAAATGAAAAATGTGAAATAATGTGATGCAAATATGAAATTAGTAGGCGAATGAATGTGTTCAAAGAGTGAGGATACATATGTAGAATGTATTGATGTATTGATCCCAAAGTTCTTGTTTCCATACAGTACATCTTGCAAACATGTAATGGGTCTTTGATACTTCCCGTGATTTTTTTCATGCGCTTATTCTTCGCACTTGTATTATATTTAGCAGATATTCTAGTTCAAAAGCTCTTTCTTTACTCTACAAAATTATATTGTATCAGCAACTCATTTGATTATATCATCTTATTGAGCTAAGATATGAGATGTCGCCCAAAAAGCATTCATTCTGAAACTAGGTTTCTATGTAAAAACTACTGCGATTTTGAATTCAATTGCAAAACAATTTGTTTAGAATGATATGAGTCAATTGGAAGCAGTGCTCGTCGTTGCTCAAAACCTATTTTTT